TGCGGGTCCGGGATCGATCGCCGAACTCCGGACGGTAATCTCATAACAGCTAATAAGATACTGGGTCTCATTGCCCCCTGAGCGTCTGCGGTGGATGTACACATAGATATACCCATAAGTACCGCGTATAACTCGAAGGGCTCCATTCGCAAGGAGATCTCGCCTAGTGCGTGATCTCCGCTCCCGTATTTGTCTTTCCTCTTTCGCGTGTTTCTACGCGGAGCGAGTTTTTCTTCCACGGGGCGTCGGGGGAAGAGCGAGAAAGAGGGGGCGAGGAAATGCCTCGTGAGAGCGACAAAGACCGAGCCATGGAGGGTATATACGGGCGCGAGAAGGAGAAGGCTCTGGGACGCACCGTGAGTGCGAGAGAGATGGCGCGACCGACCGAGAGAGGAGGAACAGTAGGGTCCGCGGACGAGACCGAGGAGGACGGAGCGATGCACCTGGCGGTGTGCCCGAGAAGGACGGAGCCATCATGCGGGTGGGTGAGGGCGAGGGGGCGAGAGCGATACGAAGCCTCGCGAGTGGGAAAGAGACGGGGGTATATACTCAACGAAGAGAGGGAACGATAGGAGCTCCGCCGGCAAGAAAGAGACGCGGATACGTGCTGGAAAGAGAGCGCGCTAGTAGACCAGGGCGAGGGCAAGAGAGACAACGCGGGGGTGGGGGAGCACCAGCCTGGCAGAAAGAATATAGTAGGGGGACTACTATCGGAGAACTGAAGTAGTAGTTAGGACGGGGCGGGGGGGTGGGGTACAGCTACGGATGAGCATGGACTAAAAGATGAAAGTATAACCCGGGTCCCAGTGGTTCCCAACTCTAATAAAAGATTTTATGCCCCGAGGAACACGCCCGCGTTGTCTCGTCCCGTCCCATTACCCGACGTGTGTGCAAGTTACTCGAGAGTAATGAAACGTTAATCTCGTTTTCCTCGATTGATTTACGGTTAATAAAACGCTCCCCGTACGAGGGATATGACATTCGGGCCGAATTATTTTCATGCATTATCTCCAGCCGTGTTATCGTTCCCTCCCTTTTCAAAACTCTCTCCCTCTCTCCTTTCCTCGAAATTGAAAACGTGATCACGCGATAAATTTATCGGAAATACGTGTTCTTTCGATATTTCGAAGTAATGCCTTGCTTGTCGATTCTTCTAGGTAATGTCGGGTTTTCATTTTCATTTTTAAGCGTTTGGGAAATCCTACAGATTTTTTTTCGAGCGATTCTCGGCCCAGCTCTTCTTCGCTCGATGATTGTGAAATGAAAAGCTCGTTCATTGATTCCACGAAATGATAGGATAAGCGGAGTAATTTAACGCGTCTCGTGTAATTTCGCCTCGGCTTTTTCCACGCTCCCTCCCCCCCCCCCCCACTCGGTTTCACAAGCTCCTTGAATTGCTTTGTGATTTCTTGTTCTTCCCGCGCCTGTGCAATACCTAATTTCTATTTTCAACCTGTCCCTGTAAAAACCGGGTCTACGCTTACCTTATTCCCTCCGAAACAAACAGTCGCCCTTCCTAAACCTCGTCGCCTAATTTCCAATGAATTCCTCCCGACGACTCATTACGATTAATCACTCTCTTTTAAAGAAGCTCCGATGTCTCCTCCACTTATTTATCAGAAGCCACGATTTCTTACACGTCTCGGAAAAATCCCTATTTTTTTTTACTCGTCTCCTAAGAGTTCACTAAGGGACTTTCTTTGGATGATGTCGTCCCCCACCTCGCATTTCCTCACATTAATTTCCCTCCGATCGGCCGTTAGCGCAATTAGCGTAAAACGATTGCATGACTATTTTCCATTTTTTTTTTTCTTCTTTCGCGCGACGTTAAATATTTCCTCATGACTGCTCGGCGCGTTTCTTGCGGTCATGAGCGTTCTACATAACAGGATTGCGCAACGCAAGGAGACACGAGAAGCGCGGAAACGACGTTTACAGGATAAAACGGGGGAGGGGGGAAACGAAGCCTCGGAAAACGCGTTTCCGGAAACTTTGAGAATGATATTCGAGGGAAGTTTCGGGGGGGGGATGCCGCGAAAGAGATATCGCTTATCCGGGGCCGAGGAGGGATTCTCGCGAAGTGCGTGTAAACGCGGCTTACACGCCCTTCTAAGGTTCTACGGGGTGTGCGCGTAATGCTCGCCAATCTGACTGTTAAAACTTGAGTTATATTACGGTGTACTGCCTCTTCAGCCCGTAAACTCGGCAAACACCCAGGGCTGTTCGGTATAAATTTATTAATTAAAGTTACGCCTGCTCGGCGGGTCTCACTGTTAAAACTTCAGTTATTACGGAGGACTGCCTTTGGGCCCGTAAACTTCGACTTCCGGGAAAACATTACCGTCCGTTCAATGTAAACTTGTTAATTACAGTCGCGACTCTGTTTAAAATTTCCACTGCCTACCATGAAATTATTAATAAAAATATCATTACTCCGTAGCGACCGTAGCAACGTGTTCGATAGAAATTTCAATGATTAACATTGGCTGTTTGAGATTAAATCAGAGGAGTACCGTCTCTACTTTGCGAGGTAAATAATCATTTTTACCGGAGATTCCTTGTTGCTTTTAATCCGCGGCTCGACAATGACGTTAATTTATTCGGCATTAATTTACTCCCCGCCTAAGTGAAAACTCTCTCCCAGCCACCGGAAATATTAATTCCCCTCGTTTTCCGCTACCAAAGCTCGAAATTCAATAACGAAATCCCACGTATTAGAGTTACCCGCAATACATGGAGATATTAATTCTAATGAGCGATAATAAAATACCAGTGACGTGTAATCCCCGCGGGCAAAGCTAACTATTAATAATCCGAGGTTTAACGCGCGGCACTCGAGGTAACCCAAAACTCCGGATATTCAATATACAGTGAATAACAAAACGATATTAATTTATCCCGAAGTCCTCGCGACGAATGAGAAATTTCCGGGAACCGTGATTTCACCCGATTACGAAAGAAACCGGAGGAAAACGCAACGCGTGATAACAATTATTCACTCGATCCGCGGAACCCTGAATAAAATGGAAGACATCGTTGTGTCCATTTAATGATTTCCTCTCAGGCTGATTAAAAGGCGATTACGCAACGGCTAAGGAATTCCTCTCGACTTCGTAATTCGAAACTGTGTACCCTGAAACACAAAGCCAAATCGGCTCTCGGGTGCGCTGAACACGCTAAATAATAAACTAATGAAATCCCGGCTGGCAGTGTCGTTTTATACAGTGTCGTTTTATACAGTGTCCCGAAGGTATCCGGCATCACAGGGCGGCCCGTTAAGAGTCCCGAGGGACTGTAAAATAATCGTTAAGCCTGCAACTAAATAACGATCCGCCGGTTATGGTCGGCGCATAAACCCTGAGTTATACCGTGCATAATATATGACGCGTAATAGGATATGCACGTGAAACCGTAGTCCCCGTCAATTCTCTATACACGCATATGTACGCGTACACGTATTGAGACATGTACGATGCACACACGCGCCCAGATTCGCGGCCTACACACATGCAGTTTACACGTGCACCTCGCCATAGACACTGGCGCTATTTAAAGAAATATTTCTTCGGTTTGAAGAATCTCAATGTATAGGTTGACGGGGTTGAAAATATTCCCCGAATGGCGGAGACACTAAAACCGCATTTACGTTTCATTTTCTCCTGTACGTGACAGAAAAAAATGAGTATTTTCACCGTATCAATGGATTTTTTTATGCATTTTCATATGCAACGTGCAGTCTACACATACGCAGTAAACGCACCGTACACATGTATGCTCAGGAAGTTACACATGTCTATACAGGTATATGCTACACATACGCAGTAAATACGGTACATTAAAGGTTCAGGAGATTCCCGCTAAGAGACGCCAGCTGTCGGCTAATCGACCGTAAAGCTGAACGCGGTCGGTAAAGTAAGGAGCCGAGACTCCACTGTCGATAATGCGGGTCTCATCGGCGGACCGTTTGGCGATCAGCTGATCGAAGGAAACGTCAAAGCGCCGGTGCTAAATTTTCCCTTCTTTCTCTCTTGCTCTCGTCTCTTACCAGGCCGGTCGAGTTCCTAGCTCGGACCGTCCTCTTTCTCCTCGGGCATTATTTTCCTTATCCGTCGATCTCAAGGTTAGGACGAAAATAAATCATTCCCAGAAACTCCCGGGACCCATTGTTCGGGATTCTCGGAAATTTACTCGAGTAAGGGAATTGCGACAACGTGTATGCTTTGCGGGATATGCGCGCATTCGATGTCGCCGTTAGTGGCTTCTTTGGTGACTGTCTTTTGTTGTAAGAGACACGGAGGAAAAATGATATTCAAAGTTGCCTAGAAGGCAACTTTGATTTACAAGAATCCCCTTTCGTAGATCCAGATAATAGGAGTCTTAATTTAATGCTACGAACATTTTAGGGGTATGAAAAATCCTTGCGAATTTATCTTAATTTTCTCAAAATTCCCAAGCTCTGAAGTTTGCTAATTATTTACGTTCATTCGGGACATCCTCTATTTTAATAAATGATTAGTATCGATAAACAGCACTCGACAAGTACCGAGTTTGAGCAGCCGGTTATTTCGGCAAATATTGAGCTTCGATGATTACTGAACCATTATGATAATTATCGAATATTGGGCTTTGACAGTCATCGAACCTCCAATAGTTACCAATTAGCGACATCGAATGTCCAATATCGAGCATCGGATCTCATATTCATAGTATTAGCAGGACGTATTAAATTATTATTGACGAAACGACGGCATGCCGGATCGATCAGCTGACTTTGACGTTTATTAAAATACGAATTAACAAAACATTTTAGGTTTTGGTTCAATGACGTTCCCTTCTCAGGGCAATCATAATACACACATGAAAGTGCGTATATTGTTAACAAAAAATTCCTAAGTGATAGGAGTAGCCTAGAATAAAGGGGAAAATAAACATACCAAATATCCACGTGGCCGATCAGCTGATTCCCGTTTTGTACCCTTTGCCTTTTCTTACCTCTTCAGGACGAGGTGCTGACGATCTCGGAGAAGGTGGTGGTGCGAGTCCACGACCTGGTTACGTGGCTCTCGCCGAGCCTGGAGTGGTCCTGGGGCCGAGAAGTGGCGTTCCCCCCGACGCCGGCCTCGTCGCCCGAGAGCAGTCCCAGGAGGTACGACCTGACCCAGCCTCAGGTCCTGACCGACCCCGGGATCGACTTCTCGGACGTGGACAAGCAGCAGAAGGAGTTCGAGATCGCCGGAGCGCCCGGGAAGCGCTTCGATGGCGGACTGCAGACCAGGGTGGTGGTGCTCTCGTACCCCAGGTACTGTAGGTACCGGGCCCTCCTCCGGAGGCTGGAGGGCTCGGGGCAGTCCTGGCTCTGCTCCTCGGTGGCTGCGGCCCTTGGGGGGTTCACCGCCCTCCCTGGCACCAGGGTTCTCTTCTGCAGGGATACCTTCGACTACCCCGACCTGGAGACCCACGAGATGCTTTGCAACCACCTGGGTGAGTATCCCCCTTCTCTTCAATATTTTACCGATTTTAAAGGTTTATAAAAGGGTCACTCTATATACACCCCTTCCTCAATTTACGCGGCACTCTTTTTTACGCGAGCTTCGTTAGATAATGGCAGTAATCGCTCCGGAGAAGGAATATTTATGTGTGGGACGGTTCGTTGTTTTTCTACTCGTTCTTTTGGCTGTCTCATCGGTGGGCAATGCTTTCCTTAGAATAACTGCTTCCCTTTATTTCGTTGTCGGGATTCCTCTTCATTTTCTTGCGTTTAACTCCGCTCTTCGCCCCGGCAGCGCCGCGCGGCGTCGGCGCGCCGAACTAAAGCACACTTCCCGCGCGACACGCTAACGCGTACTGAGCATCGTAAATCCGTTGAATGGGTCTTCCGGGCCATCCCTTGTCTTATTTGTTGACGGTTCGATTACGTGGACCAATCGCAGGCAATGTCGCGTGATTTGATTAACCCGTGGGTTACGAGCGCTCTGTGACATAACCTCTACTACGCGGTAACGGTGACCCACGTGCCAGACTTACCGGCACGCTGTCAGTGATTGTAAACATGGTGATAGTTATGAAAATCAGGGGGAATAAGGTCGTGTACTTTAAGTGTACATGTGAGTGCTCATTCGTGTTCGGTGCCTTGAGGGAGTTCAACATGAGTCGCTGGGAAATCATGAATCGAAATTATGGGACTGTTTAAACTGCGGTATTAAGTCACTTTTGTTATTAAATGTTTCGGCTGGTAAATCCATTTCTTAACGATCAAGGCACATCTTTTTCATAACGATATCAAATCCCTAATCTCTTTCTTGACGATCTTAATTGACAAATCTTTTGATATTTATGAGGTGTATAAATTTGAAAGTTTTGTAACTGTACGATATAGAAGTGAAGTTCGATGTTTCCTTGCTGAGTGGTTCCTCAACCTGACACTTCTGTAGAACTTTTATATCGTACAATCTGAAATTACAGGCTTCAAATTTGCACGCGGAGAACCAGAGTATTCGATCACTTTTTATTTCATGATTTCCGATATTAAGATATCAATTAAATAGAGTATAAACAATAAAGTCGCGGGATACGATCAGCTAGGCGCGCGCAAACGAACCGTCCGCCATCTTGGAAATACCGACGAAGATCAAAGGATAATGTAGCGCCGCATGCAACAATGTAGCATCACGCACATGCGTTTTTTAGCCTTGATTCTCTCTGATCCCTTTATGTTTGAAAGTTCGCTTCGCATGGATACTGTCTGCGAAACTTTTTTTCTCCATTGCTACCTCTAAATGTCGCAATTTGTACGAAAATAACAACGCGTACTTCGCGGATCTCCGAACACCGTTTCGTAATTTCGATGAGTGTTTCCCTTACTTTCGAATTAATCTACAATATATCAATTAATCTTTGATACATGGATCATCTTTCCCGTATCCTGAAAAAAAACTGTTTTGGATAAATAACTTGGCTCTTGAGGTCATATTTTATACACTAGGGAAGTCGTTGAAATAGAGTGTAATTTTGCCAGATTCAATTCTCTAAACATAATAATTCTTACGGTAATTTTCTCTTAACGTTAGGAACGATTTATGTTATATTTTAATATGAGGTAACGTAAAGCTAAGACGTCAGGATTGAATGTTGCAAAACCAGTGAATGTACCCAAAATGGTGAAAAATGATTTCAGGAAGATTGTGAACGTTTGTGTGAACATTAATTTATATTCCAGCGCCAAAACTTAAAGGACGACCCAGGAGGAAGCTTAAAAAGCGGAGTGCCTCACCAGGAGAGTCCAGCAACGAAAGCGAAGCATCGGTTGCTTCGACTTCACGAGGGGTAGCAACTTCGTCCAGCCTCGTGCCAGCTCTGAGGCCACCAGGAGTTCGAAGAAGCGAAAGGAAGTCCAGTGCCGAAGAGAGAAAGTTCATCACCGAAGTGCAGAACTTCATGAACTCTCGAGGCACTCCTTTTGGAAAAATGCCACTTTTAGGATATAGGCAAAGTGAGTATCTCTGGTAACTCCTTAACGTTCTTCACTGTAATATCAATGATATTGCTTTTCCTATTGAAATTATTTACACATGACGGATGCAAAAGAATTAACGTTTGCACTTCCCTCTGCAGTCGATCTGTTTCTCTTCTACACGAAAGTCCAAACCCTTGGGGGCTACGACTCGGTCAGTGCTGGAAGGTTGTGGAAAACGATTTACGACGACATCGGGGGAAACACTGCATCCACGAGTGCAGCAACAATTACCAGAAGGCATTACGAAAGGTTTGTGATAATTGAATTAAGTTCCCTTAACATATAAAATCTTCGATATACAGTTGCACGTTAAGCGCAGCGTTCTATAATTGTGTTAATTCTCTTAGGTTGCTCCTACCTTACGAAAGGCATCAAAGAGGCGAAGGAACGAAAGTGAGGCCGACACACGGTCGGCGAACAAAGACAAGTATATCGGAAGACACGACAGAAATCAAACAGGAGCCGGGAAGTCCGTACCCTTCGCAGACGACACCTCCTCCAGGGACACCCACCTCTACGGGAATCGCTCCACCTGTACAGTCAATTTTAACGTCTTCTGTAAGTAACACACGATTGGAATTTTTGTGGTGAAACTTCACACGTCACAGTGTATACGTTAATTCCTTCCAATTTAGAAATTTCACTACAATGTTTTTCCTATTCTCTTAACGAGTCAACATAAAGCAATCAATAATTAATATGCAGGCATTCCTCCCGGGCGAGAAGGCGAGGACGGAAGGCGGGAAGACGTCGTCCCTCCGCAGCGTCAGGGTGAAGCCAGAGCGCCTAAAATCCCTGAACACGATAATAGCAAACAGCGGTCCACCAAGCAGTCAGGTCAGCCAACTGCCCAGTCCTCCGCCGTCAATAAACACCCCGTCGTCAACGCCGACCAGCACCCCGTCGACCACCCCGACCGGTGGCAACCAGAGCGTCCTGGAGCGGCAGCTGAACAGTCCCTTGATCTCGCAGCAAGTGACTCCCTCGGGAACCCCGCCAGGACTTCCGGTCAGCACCGTGGCCAACACGACGAACGCCTCGGCGGTGGTGACCCTGACACCCCCTCCCGAAAAGGACATCAAGGAGATCAAGCTGGACCCGAAGCAGACCTCCCTCCTGGCCCAGGGCAAGGAGAACATCCCGCTCTTCGGGGAGAAACCGATGGTGTCCCCGAGGTCGCCGGAGGTGATCGACCTGGAGACCGAGTCGGAGACCGGCAGGGACAAGATCATCATCCCGAGCTTCAAGAAGCGGAAGCTAGAGATCCTGAGGGAGGGGGGTCTGGAAGTGACGGCCGTCGATCTGGACTCCCGACCCAGCGTGATCCAGGCCACGGTCACCCCGGTGACGGCGCCGTTGCTCACCCTGAAGACCGAGGAGAAGACCTCTTCGCCGTTCCCCACCGCTCCGAGCACCCCCAACTCTATCCCCAAGCTGATATCCGTCACGGTGACTCCGGACATTAGTCACATGTTACCCTCGCCCCAGGACACCGGCACTGCCCAGCTCTACTCTCGACTCCCGGCCAAGCAGGTCGTTAACAACAACAACGACGCCTCCAACAAGAACAACGCGGCCAACAGCCGGGTGATAAACCTGGGGAACGTGAACAACGCCGCGCTGTTGCAGTTGTATGCAAATGCGACCGCCAATGCGGCAGGTAACTCGGTCCAGGGTTCGCCTAGTAATCATAGGTTCGTCCAGCCACCTTTGACCAACGGGAGGATAGCTCCGCCAAAGGTTACCCAGTCGAGGTCGATCTTCGCGCACAACGAAAAGATGGTCTACGGGAACCCGAAGGACATCCTGACGCCCCCAAAGTACCCTCAACCGGCGCAGTCACCCAGGTGCAGCTCGGCACCCGGGGGCCAGTGCGCACCCCCGGGGGTTCTCGACCTGACCCAGAAGACCCCGGAGAAGCCCTCGTTTTCCAGACCTAGTTTGGAGATCGTTCGAGTCCCTGTCGTGCCGAGGCCGAATCCCTTGAACCTGGAGATGAGGAACGCCGTAAAGGACAGGCGAGCCGAGTCGCCGAAGAAGGGGTTCCCGGCCTATCCCAACGTCATCGAGTCCAGGACCATGGTGTCGAACAACCTGGAGATCACCCTGGTGAATCCGAAGCAGAAGGGCCAGCTGGCTACTCCGCCTCAGGTGAGGATTTCGTTCCTATTTCCCAAACAGGATGCTCTTCTTCTGGTAAATTAACCCTTCAACTTCACACCTCGATCACGTACCTTTAAATTCCACGCTGGGGCGAATTAAGATTTCGAATTTTCTACCGACAATAACCACGGTGTAATAAAAAAATGTAACGAAGATATGAGATTTCTCGAGTAGTATTTTCTTACAAATCGACTGATGAAGTTGAAAAAAATAGTTTGGTATTAAAAATTGCGCCTATAAATACCGACTGAAATTTTTCTTGGGGCGAATTCGCCTTAAATATCGGTATGGTCGCCTTAACTGCCAGGGTGGTTAAATAACATTCTATATTCCCCTTGGAGGAATCCACAAATTTGGTCAATGCCTAACGAAGTCTTGCTCAAACCCCTAGGTGCAGCAGCAAATCCCGAGTCCGCCCACGCGGACGAGTCAGGGTACCTCGATGAACCCCCAGAGAAGGCCGCAGCCCAACGGGAAGTACCCCAGCAGGAGCGAGCCGGTATCCCCCTACACGCCGAGGAAGCCCAACCACCAGGTCATCCCGAACATCCCGAACCTGAACCACCTGAACAGCTCGTCGTACGCCAGGTCTATCCAGCAGCAGCAACAGCAGCTGGCGGCGGAGAAGAGGAAAACCGCCGAGGCGACGCCGAAGGAGCAACGCAAGACGAGCGAGAGCGATCGCCAGGATCGCCAGGAGCGCCAAGATCGTCAGGATCGTCAGGATCGCCAGGATCGCCAGGATCGTCAGGATCGTCAGCCGACCCCGACTCACCAGGACGCAGCCAACCAGAGGTCAACCGAGGCGACTCGTAGGCACAGCGTCGCGAACGTGCCCTCAGCCTTCCTGCCGTCCTTGCAGCAGAACCCTGCCTTCCTGGCCGGCCAGCTGCCGAACCACGCCGGGAAGTTCCTGCCCATCCTGGACCCCATGTACTACTCGGCCTTCTACAACGGCCTCTTCCCGCCACCCTTGCCCCCGGCGGCGACGTCCTTCCTGCCCCCGGAGTTCAGCGCTTACTACAAGGAGCTGCAGGCCTCCTCGCAACCAAGACTGGCGATGGCAGGACAGCACCAACCGGCTGTCCCGACGTCCAAGTAAAAGCGACCGGACCACCCCCCGTGAGACGGTGACCCTGACTCACCTGGTCTTCAGGATCGACACCGCAGGACCTCGTCGACCCTCCGGGTTCCGGCGTCTCGTCGTATACAGTAGCTTTAGGTAGTTAAGGACTCGCTGGCGTGCGTGTCTCCCTCGGGGACTTTGCGACTCGTGTGCGTGCGACTCAGCCTACTGACCCGGAATCGACTCTGGGGTGCTTCTGCATGGCCGAAGACGCCTCGAGGACTCGTCTCGTTGACTGTTGGTGGCGTCTTCATAGTTCCAACCGGGCGAAGAACCAATTGGGAAGCCGGACTTTGTGTACATCCTCGGTTCCGTTCACCGTGTTCTGGTGATCTTCGCCTCGGACCCTAACTGGAAGACAAGACTTGTTATTTCTAGATAATGCGATCTCTCGCGAAATTATCAACCGCAGGGATTGGATGGAACTTGAATGGGAAATTTGATGGAGTGGACTGTGTGGGAAGAGGTTTCGGAATAACGTTTGCGCTGTGACGAAGAGGGACTTTTTGGGACGCGATGTGCACCTGCGGGATCGCAGCTGATTGCCGATTACCTTGACGGATGTAATTCCGTCGGGGGGTTTTTCTTTTTCTTATCTTTTACGTTTCAATTTAGGCGAGGTGTGGAGACTGCCCGGAGGTATTCTTGTAAAGATTTTAAGGGGATTCCGGGGGCTGGGCCGAGGTAGCTGGTGAAACGTCGCGCTTCGGAGTTTCGTTTTTATGGGCCTCGCCTTGCATGAGTAGGGCGAGAAATCGATTCGTAGGAGTAATACGGAGTAGCGATAAATTACGACGGGAGCGATTTAGAGAAATTTGTAGCGTTGGCCGATTTTCGGAGGCCTGTGATAAGGAGTATCGAGATGTCGGATAAGTTCCCGAGCGACGTCGGGGATCGGACGAGGCGAAACAGATTATCAGGATATCGTGCCGGGGTGGCGGAAGCGACCGTCTCTTTGTTGGTTAAACCGACGGTGCTCGGGGAAATTGTCTCGTCGAAATGAAATATGAAATCTTTTGCATTGTCGAGAGGGTTGCGGATCTAAGACGCGATTGACATTCGAGCTCGTGTGGCATATGGCGATTATGTGCCTCTGCGGCATTTGTCTTTCCCGTTCGCCCTCGTTAGGATTGTTATGGGAGCGAGGATAATCTAACGACTGCGTCTCGATGTCGAATTGTTGGGACTCGAGTAAAGTCCGCGGTAGCGAGTCCGATTTCTTTCCCGAGGACGAGTCTAGTTAATTTTCACGATATCCACGGTCCTGTGTTGGTCGAGCATGCTGGACGCGAGTGTACATAGTGTACATAATCACATAACAGTAAGGCTAGTTAAACCTCCAGCATTATCCTTGAATATTACTCTACGAGTTAAGTTCCCGAGTAACGTGTGTAAATGCCGTGTCCGATTACACGTGGCCTGTGATCGTCGTAATTTGCGATTACGGTTCTCCATTCGTTCGCTCATCTTTTCTCTCTTTTTTTTTTCTCTCTTTTTGTTATTTTCATTCCTATCGGTCTCATCAGATTGCAATTACTTTTCGAACGAAGGAGAGGACCTCTTGCATTAAATTCATCGACTGATCGAGTCCCCCTTGTATAATTTCCAAGTCGACCGTCCCAGGCCATTTCCTTCGGGACACCCGGTATATCCAGGATAAATCTGTATGTAGATGTATGATTGCAGAGGAACGAGGGACTGCATTCGCGCTAGAATATATTTCGAGGAAAGAAAGAGAGAGAAAAAGTAAATGAAGAAGTGGGGCGAGCGCGAGTCGGAGGCTCCGTTTTTAATTGCAAAATTCGTCACGTGGGGATTTCTCTTATTTCTTTTTTTTTTTACACGCCATTTTCCACGAATATCCGAAAATCGAGCGCCGGAGGAAAGGAAATCGAGAAGCGAGTTCTAGCTAAGTACGCGTAGAGAATGGAAATCATAGCTTAAGAATTAGACATTTCGACTCGACTCGAGAAAATTTTCTTTTATTTTTTATTCTGTTTTTTTTTTTTATTTTTTTTTCCCTCGGCGGCGCGATTTTAGATTGTGGAAACTTCACTGGCGACTTTCATTGCCTGAGGATCTTGTCGAGAAGTTGCGAATTGCATCGTGTGTCCTCTTTGCAGAGACTGAGGGAAGAAAGAGAGAGAGATATGCCGTCTCGTAATTACCAATTGACGTTTTACGATCGGCCTTCAAGAGAGCCTCTGATTAGTATTCTGACAAATTGCACGGAAAACTCCTTGGTATTACGCAAACGGCGGTCTTGCGCCACACTTTGTCTCGTTACACTTCTGGGGAAATCGCTCGCCAAGTAATTGAAATTTCATACGGTCTTTGGAAAGCCCAAAATGCCCGAAGGAACTTATCGTCGCCAGAAAAGAGTCGGAAAAGACTTTTGAGCGAACCTGATTCATATTTTCATGCCCAGGAAATAAACGGGTACAACGCTAAATAAACATAATTCTTCGATATAAACTAAAAGTCAATTCACATAAAGCGCTAAATGAAGTCCTCTGATTTTTTTCCGGCAATAAGATTGATAAAAAAAAAAAAAGAAGAAGAAGTACTGACATACGAGCCATTGTTATTTTTTATTGGTGCACATCTAATAGACAAAGATATTCATCCAACGTGGAGGGCTGAATAATCTCCTCCGCGATAGTTGTCAATTAAACAAGACGTTAAATTATCTCACGGTTTACCCAAAGGCTCAAATGTTTAATTCCGGCTCTTTTTCGAAGCCGATACCAAAAGTCAGACAATGATGTATGGACAATCGCGTGTTCGTCGGTGTATAAAACGTGCACTAGCTTTTCTAAGCCAGCGTATAACATATTTGCAAACGTGAATGTTACGTGTAATGTAAACTGGACAGTACGGGTAATAACTTTTATTTGCATAGGTGTTACGTAAGCTGCACAGATAAAAGGGGTAAAAAAAAAGAGGAGAGAGAGAGAAGGAGCTAGGATTAAAAGTGTCGCATATTCGAGTAGGACGAAAACGTTCGGCAAGCTTCTAAATTATATGTAATGCGTAAGAGTTGCGGAAGGTGTTACGTGTTAGTTAAATAAATAAATAAACTAGTAACGTGCAAGACCTATCAGCTGATGTGTGTCTCGGGCTGATAGGAGATGTTCCGATGTGTAGCTTGTTATCACGATCGGACTCCGAAGCGACTTTGGTTCCTCTGGGCATTTTTTCTTTTTTTAAGATCACGATCTCGCTTTTTGGAAATCTCGCCGACTCGCGGGTCGCCATCCAAAAATGTCCGGCCTCGTTGGTGCTTCTTTATTGTAAGGATAGGAAAGGAAGTCTCTGTACCCTCGATGACGATCCTCGTGTTCCATCGGCGCCGATAAACGATAAATAATTAATTAGGAAATTCCGAATGTTCATAGGGATCCTTCAGGGACGTCCGTTTTCGAAAATCGAGAAAACCACGGGAAAATCCTCACGATTTTCGCACGTCACGTGACTAAACTTGCACCATTGTAGCTCGTCGTTAATGTGACGCATTAATCGACATTACACCTCGCGATAGCGAGTAAAAAAAAAAACGAGGAAAAGAAGGGAATCATTAAATTTACGTCTCGGTAGTTTCCGCAAATTCGGGCGAATTTAAACAAGGCTCGCTAATTGGGATGGCATTTTTTATCAGCGTCTCGCTTTCATCCTGGACTATGTTGGGCGCGTTTAAAGGTGTAGTTTCTTTCATAGTTTCCAGGCAAAAGAGTGTCGCGATTTAATCTGCGGATAAATCATGGAAAAGATGTGTAGACGTCGCCGTGAAAATGTTCGGAGATATCCTCTACGTGTCCTAGTTTATTTCGCACTTTCTCCTACGTTCCTCGCAGCTCAGCCGGAAGATTATCGATGCGTGGCCAGGAGGATCGATAAATCTCTCCGGAATTTTGCAACGAATCTAGGAGCAGGTCCTTCGGTTATGTATTAATTAAATAAATCATCGACGCGTTTCTCAATGTTTCCGGACATCTTCGCCGGTCTCGCTCTTTCGCACTTATGGGGTTCCTTAAGGTGATACGAAGGAGTCATTCTATGTCCATATCTAAATATTAATATAAAACTCTTCTCGAAACTGAACTCCTCGAATAATTTGAAAATATTATTTAACAATGAAACCTCGCGAGGTTCAAGACCTTCATTAGGACCTCTGTGAACACATGTTAAGGTTTCAAATTATTCGGCGCACCCAGGCTGGAGAAGAGTCTTATAAATATTCCGACGTTTAAAAATTCATTAAAAATTTCCTTATCGATATTTTCAAAGTTTGTTTCATGAAAAAGGAAATTTCATGCGTGTCAGGGCCTTCCTTATAGCCTCCGCGTTCACGCTGTAAATCTGAAAATGGAAAAGTCTTACGAATGATTGACTCGAATCGAAAGTACGTCCTTCGAACGGGAATAATCGGCCGCGATGAGATCCCCCCGAATTTGCATCGTATTGAGAAATTACAGGAGCATGAACGTCCCTCGTAGGTGAACTAGCTGTATGCGTATGTAAATATAGCAGTACGATTACTGCCAGGAGCGAAAGAGAGAGAGATAGAGAGTGATCATCCCCCGGAAGTCCTCCCAGCGGTGTCCTTTGATGTCAAAGTCAATCCTGCCAACAGGTGGACCTCCGTTTCGGGGATCTCCCATTTGTTTTTTTACCACCCCAAACCCCCCCCCAAAACGTTCCTTTCACCCCGTTTAATTTTTCCCAATTTTCCGTTTCTTTTCTTTTCTATTCCGAACCCCTCAATTTTTTCATTTCCCACGTGCGTCGCGAAAGGGGGCTTAAAGAACACGAGACACGTGCCATAAAACGACCCTTAAGGTAGAGACTCATAGAAAGGCGGACATTTCGGGCCCCTTTCTCCATAAAGGTCCGTTTTCGCCTCTGATTTTCTCTGAGAAAAAAATTCGCCCCCCCCAGAGGGGGGAAAGAAAGCAAAAAAGACGGAGAGGAAAAGTGCAAAAATCCCTCTTGAGGGAGACTTTACGTTTCTTTCACCCCCCCTTCCTCTTCCCTCCTCCTCATTTTTCACTTCTTGTTCTGTTGCGACAGCGTTGTTTTTAGATATGTCGAATTTTAGCGCGAGAAAGATATATATATAAATAAAAGATGATATATATAAATAAATACAAAAATATATATAAATAAATAAAATATATATATATGTATAGCGGAAGCGTGCATGTGCGTTAGACAGAGATTTAGGTGACAGAGAGAGCGGGTTGTGTCAGAGAGAGTGATAAAGTGCGGCTCAAAAGGAAATTTCAAAAGTGAGAGAGAGAGAGGTGAGATCGTAGGTCGCGAGTGTTGCAGAGAGAGAGAGAGACAAGTAGCATAGGTCGAAGAGAGGAGAGAGAAAGAGAACTTGATCGCGATTTGGAAGTTTTATGTTCGTTTGTTTTCTCTTTTTTTTTCCCCCCGCGAGTTCTCTTCATTTTTTGTATACCCAGCAGTGATCTTAGCGTAACCACCCCCCACCACCCACACACCTGTTTTCCTACTTTAATAATAATAATATTATTATTACGATATACATATTTTTTATTATATGGGCATTTCAGTTCCTAATTTGGAAATAAAAACGTATCTACCACGAAGAGACCCGACACACCTCTTGCAAGTTTTAAGCCGCGGACTCGTTTTCCCAATTTTCTTTATCTTTCTCGTTACTTTGCGAAATTATGAGCATGGCTGAGAAACGTTACGTTACTTTCTTCTTTTTTGTCTTCCCATTTTTGCGCAGAAGAATCGTAGAATTTATTTCTTATACCATGGAGGAGCGCTAACCGAGACGGGATGATTAGGAGATATTTGGTGCTTAATTAATTAATTCTAAGGAATTAATCAAAAATGATGGAAAGGTCGGAAAAAATTGGGTCAATTTCTCGGACGCGAGAAGACTTTCCTTCATCCCGGCCAAAATGGGAAACGAAGATGGTTCGTGCCCGTTCGGTAATATCGGGCGCAGGCGTCATTACATGGGAGTTACAATTACGTTATAATTGCTTATGGCAGTAGAATTGCAGGGAGCCTTAATTGCGCAGCGCCGGCATAGATTGCAGCTCCTGGGAGCGCGCATTAGCGGCGATTCCGCGCATGAATTCCCGGACAATGTCGAGTTCATCCGGGTTCATCGAAGGACTGAGGAAGGACGGTCGCATCTTCGGGATCGCTGCGCGAATTAATTTATTTAATAAACCAATTCCCCCCGGAAATTTTATTAACCCTTAAGGTGATACATTTCCATTGATAAGTCGCCCCGTTCATTGATAAGTCGTTGATCTACACGGGAGATAACCGATGGCTCTTGTGAGGTCCCCGTGGCAGTCTCCGATCTTCCGATCCTCTGTTATTCCGTTAATTCAATGAATCATAAACCTACAACCACGTTACAAAATCCAGAAATATCGGCATCTCCATTTTCATTGATAAGTCGGCCCGTTGCGGGAGATAACAGATGTCTCTTACGAGGTTCCCACGGCAGTCTCGGAAGAACCAGGTGCGCCTTTTCGATCGTTTAATTTCTATAATTCAATTAATCACAAATTGTATAAAATCAAAAAATTGACTAGAAACGGCATCAACATTTTCATTGATAAGTTGATTTACACGGGAGATAACCGATGGCTCTTGTGAGGTCCTCGTGTCAGCCTCCGATCTTCCGATCCTCTGTTATTCCGTTAATTCAATGAATCATAAACCTACAACCACG